ACACCATTGGAGCCTTACAAGATGGTGTATAATGAAAGGGTAAAATAGCATTGACAGAGGAGGGGAATATTCAAGGTGAGACACGCAACAAGAAAGGTGGAGAGCTAGTTATAAGGAATGCCACGTGGCAAGCCATGAATTGAGAGGAGGATTTGGGCAAGGGAATGGATGGAAGAGTGGAGAGTGAGCTGATAAAGGAGGGGGAAACAGTGGGGATGGCATGCGGAGAGTAATCAGTAAATTGGAGGTTTGCTATTGAGGCTAGGGGTGTTGTCTCTTTAGCTGGGTGTAACCGGAGAATTCAAGGAGGGTAGCTCATTTCCTATTTTCTTGTGTTGTAAGTGCATTTTCTGGTGCTTATACTGATACCATTGTAATGCAGAATTCTGTTGAAATGGTGTTAATATTTTCTTCATAGTTGCAGTGTTCTTTTTAATTGTGTTCTGTTTGTCTGGTGCCATTAATTTGGTATCAGAGCTCTTCCGATCCTTTGGGGGAGCTTTATGGTACGTACGGGAATGGAGAATAGAATTGAAAAAATAGAGAGACGAATGGAGGCAAGGATGGGTGCATTAGAACAACGCTTCAATCAGTTTCAGGAGACGATCATGGCAATATTGACGAGAATTGATAATCGCGAAGCGGAGGCTGAGGCAAGGAACGTAGCAGGGAATACAGACGGAAATGCAGGAAACAGAGGAGTTGAGACAAACAACCAGAGAGACGATGAACGAGCACGACGAGTTGAGGTGCCTTATTTCACGGGAGAAGATCCTTATGGCTGGATCTTTCGGGCTGAACGCTATTTTCATGTGAACTGCATTCCGATGGAGGAACAAATTAAGACTGCATTAATATGTTTAGAGGGGAAGGCACTGAGTTGGTTCCAATGGTGGGAGCCAAGGAATCAGTTGGTGGATTGGGGAAGATTTAGAAATGCAATTCTGGAGAGATTCCACACATTAACTATGCAGTCTATCTGGCCTATTAAAGGCTTTGTTTATAGGCCAGGCCTATTATTAAAAATTAGAAAGCCTGATATGGCCTACAGACCTTATAGGCCTCCCACTGCAGATACTGAACACAGAAAATAATTGTATAGAGCAAAGAAAGTTTCATTCATGCATGCACTAATACTTCTCGTAAGAAATAAAAATGACAAACAAAAAAGAGTCAACATAATACTCCAGCTCTAGAATGTATATCAGAGAGGAATTAGAGTCAAAGAAATGGGGAAAATAAGAAAAAAAATACAATTACTGGGTCAACGAAAGACGAAACTTAGAGACGAAAGTGAGAAGTCACTTAGAAGCGGCAATGCACAAAAGAAATTAGGGTTGGTACTTTGCCACCTAGAATAAACATTTTATTTTAAAAAATTAAATAAGCCAGCCTACAAGGCTTTAGGCCAGGCTTGACAAAGTTGGCCTATGGCCTATTTGTTAAAAAGACTTTCTTATAAGCTTAAGCTTACTCTACTTTCTTAGAAAGGCCAAGCTAGGCCAGGCTCAACATAGGTCGGGTTGTAGGCCAGGCCAGCCCTACCTGTAAGAAAGGAGTAGAGATCTTTTACGTGGAATTGGGGTATTGCTCCGTTAATGCTAAAGAAAAGCAGAAGAAAATGCCTATGATTGTTGATCAGTTGAAGGAATATGCGGATGTGTTTGAACCGCTCTCTAAACTACCTCCAAAGAGGGCTTGTGATCACAGAATAAGAATCAAGGATGGGGCTTTGATTCCGAATATTCACCCATACAGATATCCTCATTACCAAAAAGATGAAATTGAGAAATTTGTAAGAGACATGCTGGCAATAGGTATGATACGCCCCACTACCAGTCCATATTCCAACCCATTGATCATGGTGAAAAAAAAAAAGATGGGAGTTGAAGATTTTGTACTGACTACAAGGCTCTCAATAAGGTAACTATACCTGATAAATTTTCGTTACCTGTTATTGATGAATTGTTAGATGAATTGGGTGGGACTGAATTTTTTTCTAAATTAGATTTAAAGTCGGGTTATAATCAGATTAGAATGAGGGAGGAAGATATTGAAAAAACTGTCTTTCGCACACACGAGGGACATTAAGAATATATAGTTTTGCCATTTGGGTTCAGTAATGCACCTTCAACTTTCCAATCACTGATGAATTCTGTTTTTAAGCCATATTTACGGAGGTTTGGGCTAGTATTTTTTGATGATATACTAGTGTATAGTAAAAAAGGTGGAGAACATGTGGAACACTTGCGAACAATATTGGAGATTCTTAGACAGAATCATTTGCATGCTAATTATAAAAAGGCTTTGCCAAGGAAGAATTAGAGTACTTGGGTCATTTAATTTCTAGAGCAGGAGTCAAGGCTGATCCCAGCAAATTGAAGGTTGTTAGCAAATGGCCAGTACCTCAGAATTTGAAGGCTTTGCGAGGATTTTTGGGACTTACCGACTACTACAGACAGTTTGTAAAGCAGTACGGGCAGGTAGCACGCCCACTAACAATTACTCAAGAAGGATAATTTTGTATGGGGAGAAGAAGCACACGCTGCGTTCGAAGCTTTAAAGGCAGCCATGGTTCAGTTGCCTACGTTTGCTCTTCCTAATTTTAATGAAACATTTGTTGTGGAAATCGGTGCATCCGGAATAGGAATGGGGGCAATACTCATGCAGTCAGGTAGACCAATAGCATTTTTAAGTCAGGCATTTTCAGACAAAGCGAGGAATCTGTCTGTTTATGAACGTGAGATGAAGGCCATAATTTTTGCAGTACAAAAATGGCGTCACTATCTCATGGGGCGACATTTTATTATACGGACAGACCAAAGGAGCCTTAAATACCTCACTGAATAGAGGGTGATGATGGAGAGCCAACAAAAATGGGTAACCAAGCTTATGGGTTTCGATTTTGAGATCCATTTTAAACCCGGTGTCGAGAACAAAGCAGCTAATGCTTTATCAAGAGTTATGGAGTGTAAAGAATTAACTTTAGTGACCAGTCCAGACTTGCAAACCATTATAGAGGAGGTTCTGCACGATGAGGGGACTCTAGATCATGATGGAGGTGCTGATTGATATCTCATCTCGGGTATCATGTCAAGTCAGGTTGCTTATGGCACAAAAAGAGATTAGTACTTCTGAAGTCTTCTGCAAGTATCCCTTTAATTTTACAATAATTTCATTCATCTCCTTGGGAGGGGGGGGCATTCAGGAGAACTGAGAACTTTTAAGCAGATAGCTGCTATTTTTTATTGGAAGGGTATGAGATAGGATATAAAAAAAATTGTTCAAGGTTGTACCACATGTCAACAACAGAAATATGATAATCTTTTTCCTGGGGGACTCCTTCAACCATTACCAATTCCCTCTAAGGTTTGGGAGGACATCTCAATGGACTTTATTGGAGACTTGCCCAAATCTAAAGGGGTGGATGCAGTGCTGGTGGTAGTAGATAGATTTACTAAATATGCTCATTTTTTAACTCTTGCTCATCCTTTCACTACTCAAGACGTCGCAGTTGCTTTTATTAAGGAGATAGTGCGATTACATGGATTTCCTAAATCCATTATATCGGATCGAGACAGATTATTTGTGAGCAAGTTTTGGGGGGAGATGTTTAAATTAGCTGGCACAAAATTGAAATTCAGTTCGGCTTACCATCCACAAACGGGTGGCCAAACTGAAGTCATCAATCGAACACTAGAAACTTATTTGCGTTGTTTCCTCAATGGTCATCCAACGGGGTGGGCAAAGTGGATACCATGGGCTGAATTCTGGTTTAATTCATCTTACAACAGATCAATTCAGATGACTCCGTTTAAAGTTCTTTATGAAAGAGATCCTCCTACAATTTTACACCTGGAAGGAGGAGATACACCAGTGGCAGCAGTGGAACAGTGGCTGCATGCGCGAAACAATTCTGGATGATCTGAAGAATAATTTGCTTATAGCTCAAGAGAGGATGAAAGTACAGGCAGATAAAAAGAGAAGAGAAGTGGAATTTGCTGTGGGAGACAAGGTGTTTTTAAAGATCCAGCCTTATAAACTGAGATCATTAGCTAGAAGATTAAATCAGAAACTCAGTACAAGATTTTATTGTCCCTTTGAGATTGTAGAACGTGTGGGACCAGTAGCTTATAAATTAGAGATGCCTTCATACTTAAAGGTGCATCCCACTTTTCACGTATCACAATTAAAGAAGGCAGTTCATGCATCAACACCAGTGCTGAATTTACCAAGTTGTTTATCCGAGGAACTAGAATTAAGGGTGACCCCAGCCAAAGTCTTAAAGGCAAGAAAATTGTTGAATAGTCAGATGGAGCTGTTAATTCAATGGGAGGGCCTTCTAGAATGTGAGTGCACATGGGAATCAATGCAAACTATCCAAGAACAATTCCCATTTTTCCCCTTGGGGACAAGGTGATAATTGAAGGAGGGGGGTATTGATGGGCCAAGTATTGATGGGCCACCAACATTGGAGCCTTACAAGATGGTGTATATACGAAAGGATAAAATAGCATTGGCAGAGGAGGGGAATATTCAAGTTGAGACACGTAATAAGAAAGGTGGAGAGTTAGTTATAAGGAATGCCACGTGGCAAGCCATGAATGGAGAGGAGGATTTGGGCAAGGGAATGGATGGAAGAGTGGAGAGTGAGCTGATAAAGGAGGGGAAAACAGTGGGAAAGGCATGCGGAGAGTAATCAGCAAATTGGAGGTTTGCAATTGAGGCTAGGGGTGTTGTCTCTTTAGCTGGGTGTAACAGGAGAATTCAAGGAGGGTAGCTTATTTCCTATTTTCTGGTGTTGTAAGTGCATTTTCTGGTGCTTATACTGATACCATTGTAATGCTGAATTCTGTTGAAATCAATATAAGCATGTGTTAATATTTTCTTCATAGTTGCGGGGTTCTTTTTAATTGTGTTCTGTTTGTTTGGTGCCATTAATATATAAACAAATCACAAAGAGCAGAAAAGAAAAGAAAAAAGTAAAGCTGCTCAGCCACCTTCTAAGAAGAAATCTTGAAGCTTCCATGCTCCTTTGACTACATGAGCTTCTACTTTCTTTCTTTCTTTGTGTTATTCTTCTATTTTTACTTGGTTTGCCACTTTATCCACGCTGATACCATTGAATTTGCCACTAATCCATAAACAAGGCAATTGAAGTTAAGTAATTCCAGGGAGAGGTAGAACTTTCAAGAGGCTGAACTTAATTATTGGAATTGATTTGTTTTTAAAAAAATTGACTTAATTTATTTGTTGATTCAAAAATCAAAGTTTGAATCCCAACGTGCACTTCATGGTGAAAAAACTCAATCCCACGATAACTCTATCCTTATTCCTAGACAAAAAAATAATAATAAATCTTCAAATCATTAGTAAACAAATTGTGTAGATCCACACATTATTACGATTCAAATCGTTGGATACATGATGAATTAACTTCTTCAAGCTTAATTAGTGTTTCTTTAAAAAAAATTAATAATAAATCATGAGACAAATAAAATTTAAAAAAGGAAAAAGATCGGTGAGGCGGGTTACCTCCCTACACATGGTCGAAGGAGAACACTGTAGAGAGAGTTAGCGAAACAGGTGCGAAAATCTATGCCTCTGAAGCCAAAGAACGCATCGCAGCATCGGCCATCACAGCTCAGAGGCAAAGATACTCGTATCGATTTCACAGACCCAATAGCAACCACAAATCGAGGAGGACCTCAAAATGCAAACCCTAAAGTTGCAGTCTTGCAGACAAAGTGGTAAAGAGAAAATTATATAGCACGTCAACAAAAGAGCTTATTTTGTTTTCTTTTATTATTATTAAATACTTTTTTTTATACTGCTTTATATTTGAATTCATAACCTCACACAAACTATTCAAAGTCTCTAATCTCTTATCTTAATACAAAGTTAGTTTAACTATGTTTATCAAAATATACATATAAAAATAGGTAGAAATATTTCTTCGGTCACTGGAAATAATTTGATCTTTAGTGAGCTCAAAACGATACTATCTTGAGATTATAAGATTAAAATATTATAATTACTCTGCAATATATTAGAATTACAAAAATATCTTAATTTTTATCTTAAAACGATGTCATTTTGAGCTCACCGAAATAATTTATCTTGGAGAAATCATTTACCCATAAAAGGGACGCATGTTTTTTTTCTCTAGCTTCTTTTCAGATAGGTGAATTCCACATACTTTTTTATGTATATTTTGATGAATATTAGATAAATTTATCTAAAGTAACTTTGGAAAGTGAGACCTATCTCTATTTTGTGTGTGCTTGAAATTGACTTATCTCTTATGAAATGAGATAAATATAACACATTTTTTATATAACTAATTCCTAAAATATAATTATTTTACATGTAATCCTTCTCTCTAGAAGTACTTTGTTCAGTATTTTTCTTCTATTGTTTTTAGACTTTGTTTAGAATATTTAAAAAACTATATGTTGAAATAAAAATGAGAATGGAACAATTTAAAATTAGAATGGTAACAATTGTTGCGTCTAGAATCAAATTTTTTGTATTGTCATGGAAGTTATTTTACATTCTATTTACGTTTCAATTAAAAAAAGTAAGGTTATATTTACAAAAATTTTATTTATAAACCCTTACAAACTACACTATATATTATGGGTAATAGATACTAAAATAGTATGTATTACCCATAGTACGTGGTGCAATTGGTAAGAATTTGTAAAAAGATAAATTGTAAATATATCCAAGCCTAAAAAGGTATTGTTCCAAACTCTTCATCTTTATTTATTTTTAAATAGTGTTCAAAATTTTGGTATAAAATTGTCTTGTTTTTAATTTAATCTCTATGTTTGATATTTTCAATTTTTCATCACTTTATCTATTTGAAAAATGTAAGAATAACACGTTATATATTCAATTTTAATCATTGATCCTATTTGTATTTAACAATTTTAATTTATTAATTACTATAAGTCTATAACTATTAGATTCACATGAGATCACAAAGGAGGGTGTAACTTACATGGGTGTCTCACGTGGCAAAACGTGTAACCCGACCCGCCCCGCACTTCCCCGCCTCCAACCCACCTTAAAATAACCCAATCCGCCCTACCCTGTTTTTGAAAGTGGGTTGAAAATTTCTACCACCCCTACCTACCTCCAACCCGCCCTGCCCCTCCAAACGTTGATAATTGTTTACTCGAACATCTTAACAAAAGTCGCACACGAGAACTAAAATTCCATTGAGTAACAAATGAAGATTTCGACAAGAAAGTAGGATTTGATATAACGAAAAAGTCAATCAATTCAAGTAACAATAAACGAGATAAACTAACGAAAGACGAAATAAAATAACTAGAGTCAAGACTGGACACCAAACCGATAAGGTCTTTACAAATTCAAAAAGGGGACTGAAGTCCCAAAATACCCAAAAGAAATACAAAATCAAGTCGGCATTCCGACCCTTCACACGATGTTTGCAGCAGGAATTTCGTAACCGTGAGTATTAGCTTCGGCTTGCTCATAGGCATCACCTGCCTCGGGGGTGCCAGGGACGATGGAACCATATTTCACATAATAATCAACGTCCATTCCCTCTGTTATAAGTCCGGGATTGAGAACTCGAGCTTGGTCAATAGTGTTGGTAAAAGACTCCATGGCCGCTTTAGAAACATAAGCTTTGGCCTCTTCAAACTCAATTTGAAGTTGTTCAATTTGACTATCTTTGGCCTTGATCGCATCCTCAGCCGAAGCGGCAAAAGATATTAGATCATCTTCCGCCTCTTAAGCTTGCTTTGGAGATCCTTCACCTTCAGCCTCCAAGTCCGACTTCTCTTTACCAAGAGAAAGAGCTAAACCAGAAGAACTAGAAGCCTCATAGCTAACATGAAGTTGTCGAAATGATTGTATCAACGAGGCCGACTTCAAAGCTTCCTCTTCCATCCTATCCAAAGCTGCCAACTATGTTGCACCGACACCGACACGGGACACGACACGTCACGTTGACACATTAATTCTAAAAAATATTAGATTTCGACACGTTAAGACAAATTTTGATATTTAATAATTTTATATATATATATATATATATATAATATAGTTTATATTTAATATATATAACAGCGCATAATAAGTCATATAACCAATCAAATATTCAAATTCTATAATATACATATAAAGTAAAAATAATTTTTCATGCCTTATTAATTTTTAAGGACAAATTCCATAACAAAAAATATTTTATTTATAAATTAATTTTCATGTTTAGTTAAAAAAAAAAAATTAAAATTTGGATATAAAAAAATAATGTCGTAAAATGTTGACCGTGTGTCAGAAAATGTTGACTGTGTGTCGGAGCGTTGATCGTGTGTCAGAAAATGTTGACTGCGTGTCGGACCCGTGTCGGAACGTATCAGTGTCCAACATGCATTTTTTCTACAAAAGAATGTGTATGTGCATCAGTGGCTACCAACATGTTACCCTTAAGAATGGAGCTTCTGACCAATGAAGGAGGGGACTCACCACGGCACGAAGCCTATCTGAAACCTTTTTTTTCAGAGCTCTCCGGGCTTGAGGAACACTGTGTCTCCAATTGTTGGGGCAGAAGGTGGAGGCGGAGGTCTAGGCAATCTCGATTCCCCTCTGCCCAGCTGAAGCATTGTTATCTTCAATTTCAAGCCTCCTCTTCTTTTGCTTATCCTCTGGGGGTCAGTCACTGGCTTCCCTTTAACGTGCTAGCTCTTTATGTACTTCTTGTACACAGGACCTGACATGTAGGCTACAAAAAGAAAACAAGTCAGGAAACATGACAAAAATAAACCCGAAATCAGGGTAAATGCAAGTAAAATACCCAACTCTTCATCTAGTGCTACTACAAATTTATTCACAAGGCGACTTAAATAAAAAATAGCATGATTCTCTACATGCGTCATTAATGAATTGTAAGTCAACCGCTCCTCGTTGGAAAGCGACGACTCAGGAGTCCTATAACGCTTTAGCTTCCTAAGGTAATGTTTCCAACACAAATACAGTGCGAACATAACCCGCATTTTTTTGTTTTCTGTCACCCCAACCATAAACCAAGGTTAGCCACCTGGATGTATTAACACCTTAAAGAAATGGACTTTGAAGTTTTTAAAAGACTGGGTGAACACCCGAAAGATTTTAAGCAAGGCAACGACTCTGATGGTGACCCAACATTTCCTTTCCTTGGTTTCCGAGACGTAAACACCTTGAACAAATAGAAAAAGAGGGCCACGATACAAGGAATGTTGAGGTATGTGCACACCAGTTCAAAATCTCGAACAAAGGCCCAGAAGTTGGGTAAGAGTTGTGTTGGAGCAATCTGAAGGGCTTTAGCACATCCATTTGAAAATTTGTAAGAAGAAACTGGATTCCAACTTTGGTAATCATGTCTCAATAGAAGAAGAAGTCAGGTTCCTCTTCGTTCGGACCAACACACACAGGCTCATCAACCCCGGTCGGTACGAGGTCAACCTTAGTAGTATTGCCCACCGGAAGCTCAGCAACCTCCTCAGTCGACATCTCAGGTCAAAAGTTGAGTACCACCATCCAAACCCAATAAAACTCATCTTGAAGCTCGACCCCTGGATCCGCCATCGATGACCTAGAACAAGAAGATTCGAAGTCAGCACGATAAGTAAGTGCGTCTGAGCTCCTTGAATCCAAGCCGAGCTTTAATGGATCAAAGCTGGAATAGGACGAGCTAGTAGACTCGTTGGAAATCTCAATGGGATATGTCGGGTCCCCAATTAAACGTGAACCCAAAACCATAATGTCTGAAGAACTCGTCCTCACTACATCTTCCACCTTTACTGCTAGAGGGATAGGGGACCCTATCAAGGTTGTTACTGACGCTACAGCATAAGAAGAGGCATAACTTTGGCCCAAAAATTCATTCAATCAAGATGCAAAGCCTCGCGGAGCCCCCCTCAATTCATCAAAGCAGCATGACCTTGTCCTCGTTCAGATGAGACAAATCTCCTTTTATTTTTGCCACCATGGTAACTACGAAGGTGTAACTGCAGTTTCTCCCCCTCAGTACGGTCAATTCCGTAAAAATAGTACTTTACACTAGAAGGCACCTTAGAAAGGCTAATTTCTGGAACACCACCTCGGTCGTCATCATTTCGGCTAGAGGCTACATCAGAACCTTGATTACTATTGTTCATCTAAGATGAAGAAATCACTCACCCTTAAACAAGACAACTAATGGAGGAACTTTTTCTTGTCACTCAGAGTTCAAAAAGGAATGGGAAGAGGTTGCTAAACACGAAAGCCCTAAAATAATCGAGAATACTTGCATTCATTCAAATCATACACAGAAAACAGAGAGCCATGGAAAGAAATCGAAGAAATTGATGGGGAAAGGAACAACAAACAATGTAAAATGAATATGAGTTGTTTGTGAATACATGTTTGAGGATGAAGATGAAAACAAGAGAAAAAGGACCTATGACCAAGCTCCCCACAAAGAAAACCCAAAAATAGTATCAAGAGGCAAGAAGTGTGAAGTTTACAAAAAACCCAGAAATGGAAAAATGAGGCAAAATGGAGGAAAGCACGAACAAATATCTGTTCGGACACAAATACGAAAAACCAGGGGAAAAAGACGAATTTCTACCTCTGCAATATTAATTGCTGACATGCAATCATGACGTGCGAAACTCAAAGACGGCGTCCGCTCCTCGAGGCACATCTCGCCAACCAAAGCGTGACACGTGGCTTCCTACAACCGCCAGAACAGCTGGATCA